GAGAGGGAAAGAGAGAGAGAGAGAGAGAGAGAGAGAGAGAGAGAGAGACCACCTTGGAACACTCAGCTTTAAATGGGATGTCTCCTTCAAATCCCTACCCTCAGAACTCAGGGAACCATATAGAAGAGGAGGCAGAAGGAGTGTAAGAGCCAAAGGGGATGGAGGACACCAGGAGAACATGACCCTCTAAATCAACTGAGCAAAATTCATATGAACTCACAGAGACTGAAGCAGCAAACATGGGACCCACATATTCTGAATCATATCCTCCATATAAGTTATGGCTTGTAGTTTAGTGGTTCAGGAGACTCCTGAGTGTGTGAACAAATAAGTCTCTGATTTTTGTGCCTTTTCTAGGGCTTCTTTCCCTCATGTTGGCTTGCTTTGTCCAACTTCAATATAAATTTTGTTTCATCTTATATAGTTTATTTTGTTGTGTTTTGCAGTTATCTCTTAGAAGCCTGTTCTTTTCTAGTGAGAGGCAGAAAGGTAGTATATCTAGATGGGAGGAGAGGTGGGGAAGAACTGGAAGGAGTAGAGCAAGGGGAGACTGTGAAAATACTTGCAAAAGTTCTCAATAGAATACTTCCAAACCAAATCCAAGAACACATTTAAAAAAAGATCATCCAATATGACAAAGTGGGCTGCATCCCAGAGATGTGAGGATGGTTCAACAAATGTAAGTTGACCAATGTAATCCATCATATTAGCAGACTGAAAAACAAAAACCATATGATCATCTCATTAGATGCAGAAAGGCCTTTAACAAAATCTAACATCCCTTCATGATAAAAGTGCTGGAAAGATTGGGGACACAAGGGACATACGTGAGCATAATAATTGAATTTTACAGCCAGCCCACATCCAATTTTAACATAAATGGAAAGAAAACTCAAAGCATTTTCACTAAAATCAGGAATAAGACAAGGTTGTCCACTCTCCCAATACCTACTCAATAGAGATCTTAGCATCCTAGCTAGATAAATAAAACATCTAGAGGAGATCAAGTGGGTACAAATAGGAAAGGAAGAAGTAAATGTTTCTTTATTTACAAATGATATGATTTTTTCCTTTTGTTTATTTTGTATTTTTTATAAATTTTTATTAGTTCAAATTAGGAACAAGCTTGCTTCACATGTCAATCCCTCCTCCCTCTCCTTCCCCCG